AAACAGTTCAGTGAAATACAGTATTCGCTGTTAAACTCGTTTCAATAAAAATTCATCTTCCACTTGATTTGCTCATCAATGAAAGATAATTCAGTTATCAAAATTATATGTATGTTAACATTGTGAACTGGCTAAATGTGTTAACTTGTATGTCTGTAGGCGGAAAGTAATAATGAATGCAACAAATTCATCTTACTCTACAAACATAGTTATTCGTTTTTTGTTTCACCTAGAGTATGTTGTTAAATAGGCGGATTCATACAAGTGATTCGCAAAATATTCTTTTGCTAGTATTGAAGAAATTCCAAATGTAAGCTTAAAATTGATGACTAATAAATACTGACAATGAGCTAGCCCATATATTTTCGTAATTTTCATCATGAGCGTATCATTGAAGCCAAAATGCACTCCTCTTTTTTTTCAGCTCCGTAATGGTAAATATGAAACTTCAGTTTTTATAGTGAAATATAACATTTTTAGACATACGAACTTTGTTTAGAACTCCAAAAGAATGATAGTATATTATGATTAGTTTACTATAACTGGATTTTGTTATAAACTGTTTTTGAAAGGATGTATTTTACAATAAATAATTGCTTTTCTGTGATTAGCTTAAACCCTAGATTCTATTCTGTTGGTAAACTTCATAATTTAGCTTACAGTAATCAATTCAAGTACTCATCTTTACTATACATAAAAGTTATTGGCAAATTAAGAATAATATTTACAACGGTGGCTATGATGAATCCTCACTCAAATGTCGGAGACAGTGTTTTTCCATGTTTGTAGACTGTTCTGATTGATAACCATTAATTATCACAAAGCTCAGGACAAATTAAGTATCCTGCTATTTCACTTCAAATCTCCAAACCCTGTTTGATAATAGTTAGGATCTATATAGACTGAATTGTGTCCATTATGAGTCTTATTCACCCAATTAATCTAATCATTTAAACAAACTGAACAATGAAGACTAATTTGGCTAAAGGGTTGAGTATTTCAGTTGATAAAGGATTAAAGTTCCATTCTCTTAATGCTAAATTGGCCCACAGTTCATTCATTAAAATCAACCGTGTGCATAAACAAAGACCTTTATTGATATGACCGAAATTTGAAAGTATTTAAATAATTATTGAGATTACACAATATGTCTATATTGACATTTATTGTTACCCTAATTCGTTAATAATGAGTAATGACACAACCACTACCTTGAATATTCCGTGTACAATATTACATAAGTAGAGGATATATTTTAACCAATGTAATCGATTTCTCACCAATGTTATTTCGAGAACATTAGACACAATGTTTACAATTATAAAGTGCTTGTCAAAATAATACTTTTGCAAGACATTTTGTAGTGTCTGAAACTAACGTAACAGGTGACTGATTCTATGTTGGTGGGTTTAAAATTAGTTGCAGTAGCACTAACATGATTTTTTCCGTAGATACAAATGGGTAAGGCCCCTGTGGCGGGAGCTAATTCAGTGGTACAACCATACAATTCAATCAAGTTAGTAAGCACCTCCATTCGTGAATGGGAAAAGGAGTGGCAAAACAGAACGCAGCTCTCCTACTACACTTGGCCGGTGGCGATTATGGATTAGAAACAAATCATTCCGAGTTATTTACCATGTACCTTATGTTTTTTTGTAGGGTGCGATCTCGTCTCCTACACAATAACATAAGCTATGGTAGTTCTAGTTAACAACCTAGGATTTTTTATTCCTAAGAAATTTGTAATACCTTTTTCTCCTCATTGGTTGAATAAGGTTTGATGAACGATCTTACTTATTATTTACTACATACTTTGTTCGTCTTTACCATTTTTCCGTACATATTCTTCAGTGTATAATTATTTGAACACTTCTTGCTATATGATTTCAAGTTTTTTAATGTTTTATTTCAACGCTTATTTATCCACGTTTTTTCCAAACTTACTATTATAAAATACTAATTAAAGCCTTTATCATTATTATCACAAATAGTGCTCTCACTATCAATCTGTACTTTATACTTATTATGTTTAGCTATGAGATATATTTCGTTGTTGTAATTAATCCATAAACTCCCAAGAGTAATTTAATGTTTTCTATAAAAGCATATAAATATTACTGCATACTAGAGTGAAACTTGATAATCTAATTGAAAACAATATTGTTTGCTTATATGTTTACTTCTAATTTACAGTACGGGGACTTTTGTATTTCTAACTAAGGTATAACCACTAAATGATGTGCTCCAAGCACTTAGTGAGCTGCACACTATATCAATGTCCTTAATTGACACAGTCGTTTGTTAACGCATCTCGATTTGATCGTACCATAATTTTGGATCAAAGATATGGGACATTGAAGAAAATATGCAGTAGCAAGTTACGCAATACACCATTAAATCAACATCCTTAAGGAAAACCACCTGTTACAATCAGGTCAACTGTTTTCCAATAGTAGGGTCTCGCAAGACAATGCGATTCAAAATACAAAGTACTCAGAAGTGGTTTATGTACATAACCGATTACGTCACTCTACATGGGTAAAATTGAGTTAATATATTTTGTTTATATACTCAAAACAAAACCTTTACTAGTTATTCGTTGGTCTCCAAACCATTTCATGGAATTGCCATTATAGCTTAGTAATATCGGTATTTTGTCGATTTCCGATATCTCAATCACTTGACTGATAATTCAGTAAGGTCGACTTCCATTTAATTATAAATACAAAACCTTGTAGACTTCGTATTTTTATTGCAATGTATAATATTTTCTCATATTTACAACTATTGAAATATCTATGATTTGAACCTGGGATTTACAATAAATTAAAAATTCTGTTAAGAACTGAATTGATTCATAGGATACAAACCCTAGAAAACTTAAAACTTGCTGGTTACTTGGTTTAGTTCGTGACACATTATTTAGTGTAGTTGATAATGAATAATGATGTAATCCACTTGTCAAATACAGATTCATTTACTCAATATTAAGCCAGACATTTTTCATTTAATGCTCAGTGATAGTATCCAGCTTCCTAAACTGAAGTTGGGACGAGGCGATCAATTCAGGGTCATATAGTTGGAAATTAAATAACTGAATATTCCAAGTTCATCATTTTTCTTCGTCTACTGATCAAACTACCCTCCATTTAACTGAAAATCTGACCTATTATTTATCTGTAATTGTTTTTTTGATAAGCTTTGATGAGATTTAGTAATTTAATGTTTGGAATACATGGACCTAGAGCAATTAGTTATTAATATAATAAGAACTAAACAATAGTAATAATGAATATCATTAGTTTTAATAATGAAAGAATCAAAAGTTGCCTTTCTTCCTGTTTACCAAATATAATCATCATCCAATATAGGATGCATAAAAAAGAAAAGAGTAAGAGAACAGTGATACAATTTAATTTAATTGCTCATTAAGATATTTGCTTGAACAATATATTTTTATATTCAACAAATTTGTAACATGTCCAAATATGAAAAATGAGCTGTTTCAAACTACAAATTATTGGCCACCATTAATGATATAATTGGCAATATCTGTACAAAATAATAGTAGTAATATAGATGTGTTCACAAGGTTATATCTTTTTACGTGTGTGTAAATGTAAGATTAACGAAAAAATAATAAACAGGTACAAGTATGATCGCTGTAAATAAATAGATATTATTACCATATCACACACACAGATATATAAAGGAGCATCAACGATTAATCCATCAAATCCCACACAAATGAAATAATATATCCTCAGAGGATGGTCAAAACTTTTTAACACAACTTGAGATATATTCTATTTTCCCCTTACATGTTATTGTATTTACTGTAAATAATTTGCTCTTATGTAATAAAAGGTTAAATAGTTATTTAAAAAACGAAAACTTAAATAGTTCATAAAGTAACTGAAATAATGTAAATTGAACACTTATGAAGAGTGAGAACACGTAACTGGTAATTTAACAATTTTTTTGTTCTTAAAAATACTGGAGAAGATATCATTCACAAAACTTCAACACGAAATAAGATTTTATCTATGCATTTCTCTTTTTCTATTCAAACAAACAAAATTAAAATTAAGAAGTACTGAGTATGTGAGCAATTGAGAAAGAAAAACACAACAGGTATAAATCTATTTTCATTATAACCTGTGATGAAATTCACTTAGAATATAATGGATAGATTTTATCTCCAAAGAATAGTTTTATAATAAAAAAAGGAAAGGCGAACTGCCAGAAGAGAAATCAGATTAATTTCAGTGGTGTAATCAGTAACAAAGATAATAAAGCGCTCTACATACATACACACGACCTATTCTTGTACACATATATAGAAGATCAAATCCTATGTTCATAAACTACACAGAGACTAAACGACCAGAAAGAGCACTAAAATACTAAACTAGACAACACAAATGTATATGTATATATATATTTACTGGAACTCCATTAAATTATAAAGATTGGAAATGAAAGAGTGAAGAATATGGTAGGGAGCACGCGTGCATATGTAAAAATGCCGCTTAAACACAATTCCACTAATGTATCAATGTTGAAGAATTGGAATAGTGAAAATGATTCGTCTTTTATTCATTATGGGAAAAAGGGGAGAAAGAAAACATTCAATCTACCCCACTCTAACACACACAAACTTCTTATCCTCAGTAATGTTAATTAGGAATATAGTATACTGTAATATGTGATTGTCTAAATACGGAAACTGTACTATTACATAAGAATCGCAACATACGTGTGGATAATAACAATAATTTTGTTTTTTTTTATTAATTTGATTGCAAAAATAGTTTTGTGTACTATAGACGAATGAGGTTCTTTATTATTTTAAGGAATTTCTTATTAAAAAGAGAGAGCAAAAAGAAATGAAAGGGTCAAAAAATACTGTTTCAACCCGTAAAAAGTGAAAACTTGTGTACAAAAACGATGCTATATATATATATATATATATATATATATATATATATATATATATATATATATATATATATATATATATATACATATATATATACGATAGTGCAGAATATAAGAGACCACGAAGTTGTTGTTCACTAGTTTAATGACCAATCAATCAGTTATCAACAAACATTGAACACTAACCACACAAAGATTGATAAGAAAATAATAATATTAATAACAAAGGTTAAGAGAAGTCCGAAGAGGAACCAATAGAGGATAGTGTCATCTTTTAAACTACCAATACAATAATAAGTGATAGCAGTAACTAATAATAATAGTAATGATAATTATTGTTTTACTTTTGAAATTATAATTTGTGGCATGAAAGCAGAGCGGTAGCGAGCATAGACCAATCTTAGTGCATTTCCACTCCTACAAAAGATAGTATCATAGCTCCATATCTCTAGCCATATCATCCGTGTAGTCTGACATGGAGCTTTCACCATCTGAGGAACTAGACTCAGCTTCTCTATTCTCTTCAGCTTTTAAAGCTTCCTCACTTGCGAAACGTTGGACATATTCTATTTTAAAATGTGAGAAAGAAAATAAAAACACAGAACACTGGTGTGTAAATGAAACTAATGTATTTATTTACTGTTTGATTCTTTTCAACTTCTTACAACCTAGAAGTAATGGTATTCGTTATTAACATTTGGACTCTTTTCTTATTCAGATTTATGAGTGAGAAAAACTGAACGCAAACAAATGCAGATGAGGTCATATGAAATATGAAATGTAAATTATATGAGCACCAAGAAGAAACACTGAAAATTGAACGTCAATTTATCATACGAAAGTTGTGGCCTCGAATTCGAAATGAACAATAAAATGCATTTAGAAAATATACGATACAGTTTACAGATTTTATATGGATGCATGAAAACTAGCGAATCCATGAGTAAAATATACCAGTAAATGTGATAATACTATGCAATTTTAGAGTGTGGAGCAATTGAAATTGACGATTTACTACTGATTATTGATTTGAAACTAATAGCCGTAAGATAGGTCCATCTTTAAAAGTCAGTCACCGATTACTTTACATCTAATTACTTTTTACTTTATTTCACTGATTTTCTCAGTTTTTATTGGCATTAAAGGTATCAGTAATATCATTATATTTCCCTTCTTGCCAACCTTTGTCAGTTAGGTTGCTTTGAAGTATCGCAACTGTGTCAGGTAATATTTAGTTTATATATTCAAAACACTACACAAATAAATATATACTAGTACGCAAAATGATGACAAGTGGAAACAAAAGGATATTAGTCACCCTCTTTCTATGACTTATAATTAAAAGGGATTTGAAAAATATACATATTTGCAACAGACTAAACGATATTTTGAATTGTTCATTTAAATATACATCCTTTCCATGCACTCAATAGAATTTTGTTAAAAGTCTCTATATTTAAGCCTTTTTTCGACTAATAACCTTCAAAACATTGACTTTAACGAAAAGAATGAGATGAAACTAAAAGTACAACTGAAACTAGGTCAATCAATATACATCATGATCGATTATTAGAAAATAGCTACCAGTAACATTGTCGAAGACCAATCAAATATTTTATAAAACTTCCACAGTTATGATCATGCCGTACCTTTATACAATAACAAATAACATAACTTCTTCAACTAAGTGCAGGTTCAATGACTCAATTTGAAGGCACACTTTTCAAGTAGGGTTTTATTGACAATTCCTAGCTGCACAAACTGTAGTTCGCCATCTTGAAACACCGACCTCGATGGCTTGGTCATGTTTTAAGATACATTTCAGTCGCTTCCATATTGCGGATTATTTTCACAGCAGAGACTGGGTGGAGAGAGCAAAGTGGTGATCAGTTTGTGACACATTGTTTTTCTAATTACGCTTTTCATAACGGAGATGGTTCTCTTTAGGTGAAACGTTTTCCAAGTCATATCATCCACTTAACCACACTGCTTGTTAAATTTTATTTCAGTTCATTTCTTTATTGATCGTACTACCCTTCACTTGTGTTGCGTATTTTCTGGTCCCCTATTGTACCAGAATTTATGTACTTGAAATATATAACATATGAGTAGTGGATGTATTAACAATAGATTTACGGTGTCAAATTATTAGTCTGAAACATTTACTGGAAAGATTATGCGAAATTATTGTTGAATTCTGGTTTTGCTCTAAAATTAAAGCCATGATAATGACTGTCTACAGACCAACCTATTTAACTATTTGCCAGAAAATATTTAAATGTTGGAATCTGTTCGTTACAGTGAAGTTTATTGTCATCAAACGAAATTATCCTAGAACGAGAGCCAAGTGATAACTTGGTTCATTATGTAGTGGTACTTTGCAAAGTAGGAAGTATTTCAGGACTCAGTATGCTTGTTACTTATTTCTTCAACATTGTCAATAAAAACCAACATTGATTAGAAGAAATCCTTTACAGCACGACAAACTTATCCAAAGTATATTTTAATGATTAACTATGGCTACCAAGTTGACATATACGGATGATAGAAAGAGTCGTTTATCTTTGAAATAGTAACAAATTAACGGTTGCAAAGGTTGAATTTAGGAAGAAATTCAAGACATTGAATGAATAAAGCTTTTTAGGCAATTGATTTGCTTCACAAATTTAAACAAAGCAAGAACGAAAATATTTGTAGAATACGATAGATTGTAATCATAATTTAGTGAATTGCACTCACATACCCTTTTTGACCTCTTGAACCTTCAAAATCTTGTTTTATTACGTAATAAAATTATTCTAACACTAGAACTATTGCCTCAAGTAATTACAAAAAGAACATGCTTTTTATAACTTTGATTCATAATTTCTTTCACATTCTATACAACTTATTGACAGTTTATTTCTAATATAATATTAATAACTGAAAATAATTAAACACACTAGCTTTTAGGTGGCTACAGAGCAATGATATAGAATGAATTGATCGTATTCTGCAAATATTGTCATTCTTACTTTGTTTTAGTTATTTTTTGTCAAAAAGCGACAAGGTCGGATGAATTTGATGAGGATCAGAATATAATGTCACCTAGAAAAGTAGAGACTCATAACACATGAATAAACACAAAGAGAAACGTGAGGTCGTAAAGTATCTATCATCTGAAAAAGCAACAAATTATGCTAGAATTGGTTTTAACCGTATTAGAGATTAATGGCTCAATACTGATAGTCGGACTTGCTCAGATTATGGAGTACTAATGTAGAAGTTGGTGTTCTCAAGTTGGTCAGGCTGATCGATCAGTTTACAAAAAAAAGACAATTCTATCTTAGCAACTACAAACTAATTGGAATAACAGATCGTTAGATAATATTTGACTTGTTTTAGGGAAAACTAAACTAATGGAACCTAACAGCATGCAGTCGTCATAAAAGATGAAGTGATCAGACTTATAAGTCTTAATATCCTAATATATACATGGGTATAAGTACTTCAATTAGTGCATATTTGTGACTAAGGATGTTATTTTAATGTTTAGTTAAGTTGAAAATTACATCGCTAAAGAGTTGCCCCCAAATGCCCTGGTACGGTCGATGGTGGGGAGAGTCAGCTCTTCCTCTTCAGATGCTCTCACATGGCCATGCATATACAGCCACTTCCAGGGAAGTCCTACTCACTGCCTTTGCGTGGTGGGGGTGTTGTTTACAAAATTGGGAGGACGAAAAGCGAACGTCCGGAGCTTTAACCAAGTTGATGGATATGGAGGATCCACCTAGGGGGAGCTAGAAAACCCTGATTGCAAACCAATAGTGCACATGGGCTCCAGTATCCTGAAGCAACGAATGGCGTATGAACCAATCGTTGGTCACCAGCTACCATGGGACTGCATCTCCTGACGTCGCTCCACTGTCTTATGGATCAGACCTTTCGATCGAAGGCTACGAGTGTCTCCCTGAGAAAACCACCTGCTTCGGTTTGGGAACCCAGGCAGTACCACAGCCCACACACAAATCAAGTGACTTGTGTAGTACATTTATATTTGGTGCCTCCTTGTACCAGTGTTTGTGTTCAAATAAATAAATACGTTAACGAGTTGCATCTAGAACTAATACAGCAAATTGCTACAAAATAGATAGTACTCTCTTTTTTCTTAGTCATAGAATTATTTATGAAAGTAAATTTATGTATGTTTGACTTCTCAAAGATTAATACATATATCTTTTAAGTGCTTCTAACAGGGAAGAATTTTTATGATGAAGCTAACATCTCGTGAAACTATTTGTTAAACGAGTATCACTAAATTAAGTGGTAACTTTATACAATAAACAGATCTTTTTTCAATTTTGTTTCGGCAACTCATTCATAATGAAAGAGTGAGATATTGAAATCAATGCCTGTCAATCGGAGTTTATAACAGATAGCTAGAGATTTAGAACTCAGTAGACGAATCATAGTTCACATAAAACTATGGGAGATGGTTTTAGGATCCAAAGAAAAAATTACGTGATTCGACATGTTAAATCTCTCACATACAGTCTTTAAGGTGCATTGATGGTGCAAGAAAAAGCTTATGTACAATAAAGACCTTAAGAACCACATGAAAGAGCAAAAACACGTAAAAATCGTTAGTGGGGAGTCGTTCAAGAACTTATTGACTATCTTCATTGTTTTTCAATACATTTCTTTTCACCTTCCTGAAACAAAATATATAAAATTCGAGCTTATGTATATTTCTGTCAGGCACTACGATGTATGTCTGCCCTCTGCCCCTAACTGTCCTCACAGACGGAAAGTGTTAGACAGAGAATTATTGCTACTTCTTTCACATACAGTACAATATTTCCTTTGAACCATAAGTTAGCAGATAGTAAAAAATATTGGCTTTTTGTGATGAAAGTTCGTTTACGGTTAAGCTGGTTGAGTTGCCTACTACATTGAGAAAGGATGATCAAGAAAAACTAGAGGATCTACAGTAACTTAACATTACGCATACCAAAACACGTTCTTTTCAACAAAAAATTAAGCGGGTATCGGTTTACATAACAAACAAGGCTAATTAATAAAAGGTACCATAATAAACTGAATTTACAAATTTTGTGGACTGCAATATGTGTATCCGCGAAGAGAAATGAAAATTACGATGTATTGAAAAAATTTATGGTTATCTAATGGTTTTTACGCTGCATATCATTAAGATATCGCTATATATTAACAAGAACAACAACTAAGCAGTTATCTGAAAAATATCGGTCAACTTGTGTTTTTCATGCACAATGAACTCTCTCAGCTGGTCGTTGAAAAATTATCAGCTTACCCACCGATATATTGATAAGCCGAAATTCCGGGATAATCGTTCGAAGAAATTATTACATACTATTAAATAAGATAGTTGCCATACTCTAACAGCAGAAATGTATCGGAACACTCGGCCGTTTATGCACACACTTCTCGTTTAGTCCTAACAACCGATGTCTGGTTTATTGTAGGGAAGTATACAAGATGCATATTTTTAAGCCGTTTAAAATAATTCTGCCGATGATGGCTTTGGTCACAAAAGATTTTAAGTATTGGTAGACAGAGCAATCACTTATCAAAACGACCCACAATACTCAGTATAAATAAACCGTCGTCTTGAAGTAGAATGACGTGTTTTACAACAACTATAGACATCGAAACTAAGAAATATGTAAAACTAGGTGTGCTTCCAGCTGAACAAACTTAAACTATTTTCCCTATCACGTACTTATATTTAATACATGTGAATGTCAGTTCCGAATTTTAGATTTACTACTACATTTCCATTACAAATTAAAGCTACCTTCTAAGCAAATGTACACAGCATATACCATAAATATACTGGAAGTCGGGCTGTATATTCTTAGGGAAATGCAGTGCATACGACTAACCCATGGGTAACTTAAAAATGGAGGGATGGTGAATTCTGTGAAAGGTTACTACTCTACTAAAAATAGTAAAATTACAAACCCATTTGACCTAGGCACAGATTTTAGTGCTCCTGGACTATTGAGACGTTCTACCGTATCCAAAACAATGCGCTTAGCCAAACATTATACCAAATAAGAAGACATGAATAACAACCGAATTTTAAGCATGAGTCAGAACAACTAACCTTTTACTTTTGTGACATACTCTGAGGGTTTGAACATAAACAAAGAAGCAGCATCGCTATTAAGTGGATCTGTAGGATTTGGATATGCTAAAAGCTGTGGCAAGAAAGACTCAAAAATATTGGTTAAGTCTAAAATACAGAACATGATCTAAATTACCATAAAGAGCAGACCATTGTTGGTTTATGACATCAAGACAAACTGTACCAGATCTGATGGACAATACAATTTTCTAGTAAAACAACTTACGCTTCATCAATATTCGGGTGAAATATTTTGTTCATGAATCCTGTAATTTCGAATAAACACATTACTACTTACCAATCGACGGAGATTTGAAAGGATATCGTTCGGGAAGATCAACACGAACCTTCCAAATCCCACCCTCGTATGGAGCTAAGCAGTAAAGGTTAGGCATAAAATGAACAACTTTCTGGAGGTCCAAAGAATTTTACCATAAGCTCGTTTAAACCACCTAGTATTGTCACTTCGTACTTACTCTCGATTCTAAATGTGGATTTAACTAATTATCTGATAATAACATACAATTTGACAACATCTGTGTCCATTCTTTTCTTTCCTGGACTAGGAGACGACATCCTTCAATCTTTGGTTGTGAAAATTCAGATCAGTGAAATCAGCTGTGCTTGTAAAGTGAAACTATGGTTCTGTCTGCATATATTCCAGTCGAACTCCTAGCTTGAGTACTTTTTCTTACCCAAAGATTGGTTTTGTTCAAAATATTAGCACTTTTTCGCGAAGACGTTGACGGGACTAAAGTCCACAATGTGTAGTTCGATTGCGATCAAGGAGTCGTTGTGACGTTAACGCAGCTGATTTCGGAAATATGTAGGTCAAGACTCTAGTTTCTTACACCCCATCATAATAACAAACAGTATGACTTAGTTGTATGAAATAAGGTAGTACATAATTTTTTATTACCACAAGATAATAATAACTTTATATTTGTTTAAGTAATTATTTCTTTCGTGGGCGCGCCTTATGAAATAATTTATTTTATAAGTAGTTCGGTCTTTGATTGTAAGGATGGAAAACCAAATGGTTATTGTTGGACATCCTTACTTGTTTCAGACTCCTGATATTTTGATCAGAAGCAGTGTCTTGCTGGTGCTAGTGCAGCTGAAACCCGACATCGAGTGAATTGCAACCATAATCACTTAACAAATCACATTCGTATTCGGGGGTACTCGTTAAACTTGACGCTTCATTAGATCTGTATAAAAAATCCTTTACAATACCAGATTCCGCACGCACGGTGTTTAACGAGAATTCCTTCGACTCAGCCCTAGTCACTTTTAGTGTGGTAGAGACTAGGGTTTAATGCTTGTGTAGATCCTACAGTTTGATGGCTCTCGGATAAGCTAACCTTCCGTCAAGTACATCTATCGGAGGAGCCATATCAGACAGTGATTCACTCGGTAATAATTCCATTAGAAACTCCGCTCCTCGAGAGTTACTGCCTGTCCCAAGCCCGGGTAAAGGAGGAGGGTTGGACATGGGGTTAGCGACCCCATCCCGTATAGAACTAACTCCCTAAAAAAACGCTTACCAGAAAAAATAATCAAAACCATTTTAACTCTACCCTGGGAGTTAGGAGGTCTTCATTTAGAAGAATTATGACGCTTCATGGTGAAAGCCGAGCTCCTTCGGAAGCCACGAGGCCGATGCCCCTTCTAACAACCAGAGAAAAAATTTTTATAGGTACATGGAACGTCCGAACAATGTGGGAAACCGGGAAGACCAGTCAAATAGCAACGGAAATGAGGAGATACAACTTGGCAGTACTGGGAATCAGCGAAACCCACTGGACCCAAGCTGGACAGAAAAGGCTAGCCACGGGAGAGATGCTGCTGTGCTCCGGTCATGAAGAGAAAAACGCTCCACACACTCAGGAAGTTGCTTTGATGCTGTCCAAAGTAGCACGAAATGCACTTGTAGGATGGGAATCTCACGGATACATAATCAGAAGGAAGAAGAAACTACTATGGAGGACAACTGGAAAAGCATCAAAGAAGCATTAACTTCAACGTGTCATGAAGTTCTGGGCCTCAAAAGCATCATCATAAGGAATGGATCTCTATGGAAACACTGGGTGTGGTTCAAGAAAGGAAGAACAAGAAGACAGCAATTAGCAACAGCCGAACACGAGCAGAGAAAGTCCAAGCACAAGCTGAGTACATAGAAGCAAACAAGCAAGTGAAGAAGAGAATTAGAGCCGACAAGAAGAAGTACTGGTAGAACTAGCAACGACGGCGGAAACAGCTGCAAGAGAAGGAAATATGAAACAGCTTCACGATACAACGAAGAAACTAGCAGGGAAATGCATTAAACCAGAGAGACCGGTCAAAGACAAAGAAGGCAAGCCAATCACTGAAATTCAACAACAGCGGAACAGATGGGTGGAATACTTCGAGGAACTCCTGAATAGGCCGGCTCCAATGAATCCACCGGACATCGAAGCAGCACACATAGATCTTCCTATAGATGTCAATCCACCAACGACGGAAGAAATTAGAATGGCCGTCAGACAAATCAAGAACGGGAAAGCAGCAGGACCCGACAACATACCAGCTGAAGAACTGAAGTCAAACATCGAAGTAACTACAAACATGCTTCACCTTATATTCAGAAAGGTTTGGGAGGAGGATCAAGTGCCGATGGACTGGAAAGAAGGACACCTCATCAAGATTCCAAAGAAAGGAGATCTGGGCAAACGTGAAAACTACAGAGGCATTGCACTACTGTCAATACCAGGAAAAGTCTTCAACAGAGTGTTACTGAACAGGATGAAGGATGCAGTAGACGCCCAACTTCGAGATGAACAAACTGGATTCCGTAAGGATCGGTCGTGCACAGACCGAATTGCAACACTACGGATCATCGTCGAACAATCAGTTGAGTGGAATTCGTCACTGTACATCAACTTTATTGATTATGAGTCAGGCAAGTCTGTCTACTCTCTTCCTCCCTCTTTCTTCTGGTGGTCGACTCGATTATGAAGACCTCGACATCTGAGGAAAAACACGGCATACAATGGAGAGCTCAGAACCAATTAGACGATTTGGACTTCGCAGATGACCTGGCCCTCCTATCGCATACACACGGACAGATGAGGGTAAAGACAGCCAGTGTAGCAGTAGTCTCTGTGTCAGTAGGCCTCAACATACACAATGGGAAAACCAAGGTCCTCAAATTCAAAGCGGAGAACAGCAATCCAGTCACTCTTGATGGCGAGACTCTGGAAGATGTAGAATCCTTCACATACCTGGGAAGCATAATCGATGAACAAGGAAGTTCAGATTCAGTCGTAAAGGCGAGGATTAGCAAAGCAAGGATAGCATTCCTACAATTGAAGAACATATGGAACTCAAAACAACTTTCAACCAATATCAAAGTGAGAATCTTCAATACGAACGTCAAGGCAGTCCTGTAGTGGCATTGGACAATAGTCACACAATCCACAAAGCTGTGAACACGAGACTACTCAGAAAATAGATATTCAATATTTAACGTGGAGAAATACCTAACAATGGAGAAGGCGCGAACAATGAATTGAATGGACTGGAGTTGATCGAGTGGCATGGCTCGGCCATGCAGGCGTGGTCTCTGCTGAATGTTACCTTCTATCTTCTATTCATATTAAATATATTGTTCTTTCTCTAGCCTAACCTTGTTCTACATCATGTATTGGTAATTGGTATGATACAGTGAGTTGGTGTAGTCGATGGTGTGACTTCCACGTAAGATCTTATAGATTAGGCAGTTATATCATGACAAATCTACAAATTTAGGATTGGGTCTATTATTAGAGCAGTACTAATATCATAGTAGACCATAGTTCTACAGTTCTACTGTAAGGAGCTGAAACTTGGGGAACTGCGACAACCACCATCAAAAAGGTACAAGCATTTGTTAATAGCTGTCTACGCAAGATACTCAACATCAATTGGCCGAATACCATCAGTAACAGCCTTTTGAGGGAGAGAACAAATCAACCTCCAGCTGAAGAAGACATTAGGAAAAAACGATGGAAATGGTAGGACATAAATTACGCAAATCGTCAAACTGCACCACAAGGCAAGCCTTAACTTGGAGTCCTGAAGGGAAGCGGAAAAGAGAAAGGCCAAATAACACATCACGTCGGGAAATAGAAGCAGATATGGAAAAGATGAATAACAACTGGAAGAAGCTGGAAAGGTCTGCCCAGGACAGGGTTGGATGGAGAATGCTGGTGAGCGGCTTATGCTCCTTCACGAGGAGTAACAGGCGTAAGTAAGTAATTCCGTCGAAAATTTTACAGTCAGATAACAAACACCTAGTCCTAAGTTTGCGAATTTTTAATCTATCTCATTCTCAAAAATGGAGAAAAGTGGCTGCGCGAGTGTTGATCAAACGTCTTCAAGTAGTTTAACGTTTGTAGGAAACTCATACACCCGTCCGTATTATAAGATTAATAGACTTATTGTATGTAATCTCTATTCGTGCTTGAACTTCACGGTTCTATTGATCTGTGACGATAAATAAATCCCAAAATAAATAGCTCCGTAAGTCTTCGACATTTGATGCTGACCCATTGGTCTTGATGGACTCACCTATCTAAGGCGCTTGTTCATGCATCCGCGCCAGATCACAAGTGGGTACACCGGCTACGCATCACTTTCAACTACCAGCCATCTTAGGCCAAACGTTCTCTTGACATACCGATAGCCTTCCAAATATATTTTCGAACTCCTTCATTCCTGACTGCTGACTAGACTGGGTTAGCATTCTTCGATAGTAAAAGTGGTACCGATAAAGGTGTTGTCAAACTTCGAATAGCTGTAGCATCATTAAACTAAACAGACATTTTGAGTCTCCTTAGGAGGCCAGTGTCCAATTATAGAGGGGCTTAACTTCCTTACATCCAATATTCGGCTGTGAACAAAGGAAGCTACATGCAAAGTTGTAAATGCTTTTATACTTAAAGGTTTGAGATTCTTTGAGCATTTCCCAGAGTTCTAAAACCTGCAAACGTCAATGCTTTGCAATGAGCAATAGTTTTCGAATATTGGCTGATGATAAGCACTAAGTTGATGTGTATATGTAAAAACGGTAGCTTGATGTTACTCGACACTTACCTATTCTATATCCGCCGTAATGCTCTTAAAGGTTATATTTGGCATTTGACAATTCCGCTAACATTCAGATCTTTATAAATCTCAGTGAAGTCCCTTTTTTATTCCCTGCTTGAGCAGAAAAAAGCAAATAAAAGCATGAGAGTTTAACTACTTTTCCTCACTTAGCCTCGTGACATTGCAAAGCACTTGGTGAAACATTGATAAACATCCCAAGATCTTTAAATGTGGACGGAAATATATCCACTAATAAAAGAACAAGGAAAATGGCGATGGCAACTGACCAAAGAAGGTCTGCCTGGGAAGTGTTTCTCCCTCTTTCAGGTTTTCATTTTCGTCACCTATCAATAACGTATTATCTATCACTACTCAGTGCCCAAGAAGTGCCGCATCAGCTTTCACTGTATGAAATAAGGAGACCTGTTTTGTAAGAGTTGTAACATTTTCAAGGGCTTTGGATGGCTAATGCTCCTAGATATGTAAATTTCCGTCCTTGTTTTCTCTGTACGTCAATATCATGATGTTTTGAGTGTATTACTTAAACTGACTTAATTTTTTGTTCCATTTCAGTACGTTTACTAGCGTTTAGTGGTAAATAATCAGCTAAAATAATTGCTTTTACAGGTATTCGACAATGATACTAACCTTAATGCTCTAATTTCAACTAGTCTTATATACATCAAATCTATTGAATAATCTAAATTCTGAAAATAATCTAGGAGAGTTCAACTATCTTGCTGGATGATTTACCGTTTTTGGGCTTAACATGTTTGTATTTTAACTTAGACTAGCATTTATGTGTCATACAAACCGCTCCTT